GAATAATTTATGTGGTCCCGGGAATATCAGGCGGCCCCCGCTCCCGGTGCGGGCCCCACGTGCGGATTTACTATTCGTGCAAAAGAACTAATAAAAATTCACAACTTCGAATACTCGTTAACCATTTCATAAGGTTCAATACAATATACTCTTAAAAGTAAATACATTTGGGGACGGCGCTACAAGTTCACCCCCCCTTATTTGGGATTTCGTCCCCGAAATCCACGTGTCTAATCGAAGAGAAAAGGGTATTGCTCCCTCATTGAGACCTCGGTCTCCCATGTTTCTTCCTCGACTCGATCACTCCTCCAAAGGACTTTCACCATAGGAATCTCCTTGTTTCTCAATTTCTTCACTTGTTGTCCCACAATTTTCACTGGTTCTACCGCATATTGTAGATCTTCGCGTATCTCTACCGGTGGCTTCTCAAGAATATGAGATGGATCTCTCACGTATTTCTTGAGCATCGATACGTGAAACACGTCGTGTATCTTCTCAAGTTCTGGCGTCAACTTCAGACGGTATGCCACGGCCCCTATCCTTTCAAGAATTTCAAATGGGCCAATGTATCGGGGGTTGAGTTTTCCCCTCGATATAAATCGGATGATACCCTTCCAAGGAGAAATCCTTAGGAAGACCTTATCACCAACCTCGAACTCCAATGGCCTTCGTCGTTTGTCGGCATAGCTCTTCTGCCGATCTTGGGCAGCCTTGAGTCTATCCTGAATGACTTTCACCTTAGCCTTGGTGATTTCAACAAGTTCAATTCCCTCGAGCTTGGCCTCGCCAACCTCATCCCAACATAACGGTGTTCTGCACTTCCTCCCATACAATGCCTCGTATGGAGGCATGCCAATACTCGCCTGATAACTGTTGTTATAGGCGAACTCGACTAGAGCCAAATGTTTGTCCCAACTTCCTTGGAACTCCAGAGCACACGCCCTAAGCATGTCCTCCAATATCTGTATCACTCGCTCGGATTGTCCATCCGTCTGTGGATGAAAAGCCGTGCTGAACTTCAATCTAGTACCCAAAGATGCTTGAAACTTGGGCCAAAATCGAGATGTGAATCGTGGATCCCTATCCGAGACAATGGATATCGGGACTCCATGTAGTCTCACAATCTCCTCCGTGTATAGCTTTGCCAACCTTTCAAGAGGGTAAGTGATGTTAATAGGCAAAAAGTGTGCACTCTTGGTGAGCCTATCAACTACTACCCATACCGCATCATAGTTGTTCACGGTCCGCGGCAACCCCACCACGAAATCCATAGTCACATGCTCCCATTTCCATTCTGGAATGGAAAGTGGCTGTAATAACCCAGCTGGATGCTGATGTTCTGCCTTAACTTGTTGACAAGTAAGGCATCGACTGATGTACTCGGCTATCTCTCTCTTCATACCGGACCACCAGTAACTTTCCTTCAAATCACGATACATCTTCGTGCCCCCCGGGTGCATGGCATAAGCCGATGAATGAGCTTCCTCTAAGATGGACTTTCGGAGCTCATCATCTGCCGGCACACACACTCGGTCACGAAATAATAAAAGACCGTCATCTCTTTCCCTGAAGTCCTCCACCGATCCCGCTTGCATGCGTTCCCGGATCTTCATGATTTCCTCGTCAGTTTCCTGACCCTTCTTGATCTCATCAAGCAAGGTAGGTCTCACCTCAAACCGTGCCAATAAGGCACCATTACTGGACACCTCCAGTTGGGCTCTTAATGCCCTCAAATTAGCTATCAATGCCCCAGATGAGCTCTTCCGGCTCAAAGCATCTGCCACCACATTTGCCTTGCCTGGATGGTACTCAATCACTAGATGGTAGTCCTTTATCAACTCCATCCACCGTCTCTGCCTCATGTTTAACTCTTTCTGAGTAAACACGTACTTCAAGCTCTTATGGTCAGTGTATATGTGACATGTCTCTCCGTAGAGATAATGTCTCCAAATCTTCAGTGCGAACACCACTGCCCCGAGCTCTAAATCATGAGTAGGATAATTTACCTCATGCTTCTTCAACTGTCGTGAAGCATAGGCGATTACCCTCCCCTCTTGCATTAACACACATCCAAGCCCTTGGATGCTCGCGTCACTATAGACATCGTACCCCATACCCTGTTTGGGTAATGCAAGTACCGGTGCCTCAGTCAATTTCTTCTTCAGTTCAGTGAATCCTTCCTCACATTTTTCATCCCATACAAACTTAGCTCCTTTTCGAGTGAGCTTCGTCAGCGGTGATGCCAAAACAGAGAACTTCTCCACGAACTTTCTATAGTATCCTGCCAATCCAAGGAAACTACGAATTTCCTTGACGTTTTTTGGCCTCTCCCATTCGGTGATGGCTTCTATCTTCTTGTTATCAACAGCAATTCCCGATCCCGAAACCACATGCCCGAGAAAACCAATCTCCTTAAGCCAAAATTCACATTTAGAAAATTTAGCATAGAGTTGCTTCTCCCGTAGTGTCTCAAGAACGAGTGTCAAGTGCTCCTTATGCTCTTCCTCACTCTTTGAGTAGATCAAGATGTCATCAATGAACACAATCACGAATCGGTCCAAGTATTTGTGAAATACTCGGTTCATCAAGTCCATGAATGCCGCCGGGGCGTTTGTTAACCCAAACGACATAACAAGGAACTCAAAATGCCCATACCTCGTGCGGAAAGCACTCTTCGGTATGTCATCCTCCTTAATCTTCAATTGATGGTACCCCGACCTCAAGTCAATCTTTGAAAACACGGTTGCTCCTCGTAGTTGATCAAACAAGTCATCAATCCTAGGCAAGGGATACCTATTCTTGATTGTGACCTTGTTCAGTTGACGATAGTCAATGCACATTCGAAGTGTTCCATCCTTCTTTTTCACAAAAAGGACTGGTGCTCCCCACGGGGAGTGGCTTGGTCTGATGAAACCGTTATCCAAAAGCTCTTGCAATTGGGTTTTTAACTCGTTAAGTTCAGCGGGTGCCATACGGTATGGCGGTATGGAGATTGGTTTGGTGCCGGGCTCGACTTCGATCACGAACTCAATCTCCCTATCGAGTGGGAGTCCCGGTAAGTCTTTTGGAAAGACGTCCCGATACTTGCATACCACCCTAACATCATCAATGCTCGTCTTTTCTTTGGTTTTGTCCACCACATACGCTAGATATGCGTGACATCCCTTCCTCATCATATTCTTAGCCCTCACAGCGGATATGATACAACTATTGGATTTTGCCCTATCCCCCTCGAAGCGTAGGGTCACCCCTTCATTGCCTTCGAGTTCAAGTACTTTCGTGTAACAATCGACCCTAGCATGATGCTTCTCAAGACAATCCATCCCCAGGATTGCATCGAACTCAATCATACTCAGCGGCACGAAATCACACGACAAGTTTTGGCCCTCCACTTCCACCTCACACGATGGATAGTGGCTATCTCTCTCGATGTCTTCCCCTAGGGGTGTGGATACCAATAGGGCTTGAGTCATCGGTACCAGGGGTACGTTGAATCCCCCGGCGAATGCCTCACTCACAAATGATCGTTGCGCCCCGGTATCGATGAGGATTCTCGCACATCTCCCATTAATCTTTAGTGTTCCTACATTTATAAGCCATGTAAGATACCTCTCTAACATACCGACCAATCCTACGAAGAACATAATGCGAAATTATGTCCTTAAAGTGGGCAAAGTCCCCCAATTATGGTTAACGTTCGCAGTTGAGATATAAATTGACACTGTCTCACCGTTTTGATCATATCTCTTCACATACTTAACCAAATCGTTCGATTCAAATTCCATCATTTAGACAATGAAAATATCTACAACTTTCATGAAGACAACGTTTTCATTTGACGAACACTTCGAGGTGTACCCGGTCGGGTAACATACTATACCCGGTCGGGTATAGGTTCCAGTGGGTTCGGGCAGAATTTTTTTGACAAACCCGGTCGGGTATAACACCATACCCGGTCGGGTATGTGTTCCAGTGGGTGTCGGGAAGAAATTTTTGACAAACCCGGTCGGGTATACCACCATACCCGGTCGGGTATGTGTTCCAGTGGGTGTCGGGAAGAAATTTTTGACAAACCCGGTCGGGTATACCACCATACCCGGTCGGGTATGTGTTCCAGTGGACTTATGAGTGCAAAAACTTGTCCTACCCGATCGGGTTCATTAACAAACCCGATCGGGTATGCGATCCAGAAGGTTTACGAGGGCAAAAACTTGTCCTACCCGGTCGGGTTTATTGCCCTACCCGGTCGGGTAGTAGCATGGTTTTGCTCTCCCTTCCCATTTCAATCTTACGTCCGCTCCCGCCTGGATTCTAGGATTTATAACTTCAATTTATGGATGAGGAATGGGTAAAATACGGGAAGTTAAGCGGTCATACCTGCAACCGAATCTGGGTTAGCTCGGGCATCCGCCTCCGTCATTGCGTAGACCCTTGCTTGGGTCCTTCCTTGGTTAACGGACGGCACATTGCTCGTGCTTGCTCCCCCTTGGCCCGTACTAGCATGAGGTGCTCCGGTTCGGCTCCTACTTGCCGTAGTAGCGCTGCTTGATCCCGCTCCTCGGTTCCTACCAAGTTGAGGGCAATTTGGCTTAATATGCCCCGTGTCCCCACATTGGTAACACCGTGGTGGATCGCGACACTTACCGGCGTGGCTCCGGTTGCAATTTCTGCACCTGGGCGCCGTTGAGGCTTGTGAGCCCGAGTTGTGCCCGCCGAAGGCCGAGTTTCCCTTGGATGGCGGTGCCGGCGCTCTGAACGATCCCCCTCCCCCGTGGTTCCCCTTTTTGTTAGAACCTTGGGGGCCATGGTTCTCCCATTTCCTCTTCTTCGCCTCTTCGGCGTTCCTTCGCTTTCTTTCCTCCCACTCTTTTTCTCCCTTCAAGCCTTGTTCAACCACTTGACTAAACGTCATATTAGGCATTTGTGTTGCCCTCTCGCGTATGTCAAGGTCTAAGGCATCCCAGAAATGGTTCACCATCCGGTTTTCGTCACAAATGTATTCCGGTATGAACTCAGCAAGTTTCCTGAACTTGTGCTCAAGTTCCTTCACCGTGCATTCCCCTCCTTGGGTCAAATTCGTGTACTCCCTCCTCTTCAAGTTCACCTCGAAGTCGGAGTAGTATTGGCTAAAGAATTCTTGCCTAAAGTTCTCCCAAGTGACGGCCTCGCCGTACTTCCCTTTGACTCCGTCCCACCACGTGGACGCCATGCCTTCTAGCAATCTTGTTGCCACTCTCATCTTCATGTGGGGTGGCAGTTGCATGTCAAGGGCCGCTTCATTGAATCTCTTGATCCACTCGGCCGCCACGGAGATGTCTCCCGTTCCATCAAACGGTTTACATCCCAAGTCTCTCGCCTCCTTTAGGTACTTTGAGATTCTTATGATAGGAACCTCAGCACCTCGACCTCCTCGGAGTTCAATGCTCTCCCTAGGAGTCGCGCGGCTTCCTCTCCTCGAAGCCCCTTCCAAAGCACGCCTTGCCCGGCGCCTTTGGCGATCTTGTTGGTATTGCCGGAGCAATTCCTCAATCCGTTCAAGAGCGTTATTATCATCACTCTCATCACTAGCATCGTCGTGTTCCCCATCATATGGGGTCTCAACCGGCTCAGTTCCCGGTTGGTAAGTTGAATCCTCCTCGGACTCATAGTGTTCATCTATTGTTTCCACGTGACCGTCACTCACGGTCAGCGAGTGGCCTGCACGGCCCTGTCCCCTAGACTCTCTTGATCCCCCCCGACTGCCACGTTGGGATCCTCCCAGTGCCTGGCCAGTCGGGTTCCGTCGAGTAATTCTACCGGTACGTTCCATTTCTGAAAGAAGTTTAGAATGAGCCATTAGACTCGTATCAAATGTCAAGTGACGGATAGGTACTTAAAGACATCTTTTGGCTCAAATCACCGTCATACCAATTGTTAAGGGTACCATCTTAACAATTAGAGACCTTGCAACTCAAGTACCAAAAGTTCTATAAGTACAAAACTTTATGCTCATGGGTTTCAAATTCGTTTTTCAAAAAGAGATTTTGAAGCTTCATTATGAAGTTTACGGACTAAGGCTCTGATACCAATTAAATTGTCACGCCCCGGACCTTCCCGGACACGTCAACAACCCGCCGTACAGTACGAATAGTCAACCGCAGTCCAACACATCCATACTATACAAGGCGTCTGGAATATCATTCACACATAGTACATCCGTAAACAAACATAATATAAAATATTCATTTAAAGCAGCGGAAACATTTAATACAAGCGTTCATGTCACACCTTGGCAAACATGGGCATACAAGCCCCCAAATAAATATTTAAAAAAAGTAATATCCATGAGCATTATTTAAATTGTTTTCAAAACAGAAACAGGAGAAGCACGAACCCCGCCTTCCTCCTTGAATTCCCCGAAGCAACGAGCGGTAGTAGCAAGCTCTACTCCCTACCTGAAACTGTGAGGTGGCCTCCCCCGTGAAGGGGAGGTCAGTACTTGGAAGCATTTGACAAGTACAATGACAACTATACTAAGTATAATCAAAGTTTCAATTTCCAAGACCCTCAATCCAAGATGTTATTCATTTGTAATTAACTCATGTTCTCCATGCTAGAGCTCGGCTCATAGTCATATCAATTTGTGCTAGAGCTCGGCTCATAGTCACTCTACGTTGCTAGAGCTCGGCTCATAGTCATACTAATTTGTGCTAGAGCTCGGCTCATAGTCACCCTACGTTTGCTAGAGCTCGGCTCATAGTCATACTAATTTGTGCTAGAGCTCGGCTCATAGTCACCCTACGTTTGCTAGAGCTCGGCTCATAGTCATACTACCACGTGCTAGAGCTCGGCTCATAGTCACGTCACTAATCCCTAAACTACTTCTTAGTCTAGGTTCCATCCATTTTGAGTAACCCCTAAGGCTTACCCCAAATGTAACTTGAGTTCATAATAATTTGAATATTTCAATTAAATTCCTCATTCAAGTATAACTTGGCTCTAATATCAAAATATCACTTTTATCCTTCCATGACTTCCTTACATGAGGTAAAAGTATATTTATCACAATTTAGTTTATAGTTTACACAACTATTATACCATTGTATTCATAACACATAATCATACACAATTTATTCATAAATTTGTATATTATGCATTTTTGCTTATAAACAATAATAATCTCATTTAGGCATTTTTTTATTATAAATAAATCATGCCAAACACATATATTTCATTTAGGTAATCTTATGAAATTAACCCAATAATTATAAGCAATATAGTCGGTCATCCTCACCTTAAGTGAGCTTAAGCGTGTTCTACGCTCCGCGGTTGAACTTTGACTAATTCCGGTGAACTTTGACCAACTCCGGCCAACTTTGACCAACTCCGGCGAAACTCCGGTGAAGCTCAAAGATACTCTAAATCAAGTTCCTAACAAGGTTTTAACATCATAAAACCTTAATCAATACACATAACCCTTAAAAGGTTATTTTCCGGTGAACCGGTCGGTTTGGCTTCTAAGTCCGTTCTTGGACTTAGAACCACTCCCCAACCCATTATTCCACACTATTGGCATGTAGAACAACCTCAAGGGTTCTCCATAAGATATGTATCTCATATGGTAGGAGAAAAATAGAGGAACAGTTAATATAAGGTCATTACCTTAATCCTTCCACACTTTTAGCACCTTAGCTCTTTTCCTTGGGATTCTTCCTTGATGAACTCCCTTCAACAATGGAGGAGGAGGGTTGAGAGCTCCCTTGGTCTTTCTGGAAGAGTGCTGGCCGAAATATGAGGGAGGGGGGTGGTACATGGTCCTTTTTGTCTCAATAGACCAATGAGTGTGGGTGGGAGGCCCACCTCATGTCTCTTTGATCCTTTTCCAATCAACCCAACATACCCCATCCTTCCCCTCTCAATTCAGCCGCCCAAGAATTGTAGAAATGTGGCTAAATTCGTGGGTTGGCCCCCACCCATGTGGGAGGTCAACCCTTTTTGTCCAAAAGTGTACAATCGGTCCCGAAAGTTGTATTTTTCGGGCTGTTTTAAATATATTTTATTTTATCGGGTCAAATAAAATATATTATGTGTTCTCAACCATTACGACCCTTATAGTGAATATACATTCCCCAACTTTAATTTATAAGTCCCCGAAATTCAATTTCGGGCTTCTATCGGTTAAATTGCCAATACCGGTATTTGAGCCCCTTTTGACCAATCGGCCAACTCCGGACCTTTCCATGGCTCAAATGAGTTATCCAACACCATATAAATATTATCTAGACCAAGATGAATAATTTATGTGGTCCCGGGAATATCAGGCGGCCCCCGCTCCCGGTGCGGGCCCCACGTGCGGATTTACTATTCGTGCAAAAGAACTAATAAAAATTCACAACTTCGAATACTCGTTAACCATTTCATAAGGTTCAATACAATATACTCTTAAAAGTAAATACATTTGGGGACGGCGCTACAACATCATTCGGGAAGGTCATCAAATGATTTTTGCAAGTTAACTGGTCCGGAAAATACATATTCCGGACTAGTTAACTTGCAAAAATCATTTGACGACCTTCTCGATTGAGTTTTTGGCTGAATTTGTTTGTGGATAAACTAGACTTGATGGAGAACATGCCATAAAAATTTAATCCAAAAATTCCACCGGGAAGGCGGCCAAACGCCGCCATCCGGACGGCGGTTCCTGTCCGGAATTCCGGACATGAACTTTTGTCTATATATATATATATATATATATATATATATATATATATATATATATATATATATATATATATATATATATATATATAACGGTTTTAATGTAGTTTCTGAATATGTAAATTTTAATGTAGCGGTTTTAATGTAGTTTCTGAACATGTAAATTTTATTTAGGAAAAATTGAAAATAATAATCTTAACTATTGTCGGTCCGCTGAAAATAATCTCAACTATTGATTATTTTTGTATAATCCCAACTATATAAACTATCCGCCAATTATGGTCCATGACCATATATTACCTCTATAAAAAGTGAATTTTAAATAGAAATTAAGCGTAAAAATTAAAAGTTGAGATTATTTATAGAGATTATTTGTTATATCTCATCTCATCCACTTTAGAAACTATAAGAATTTATTCATAGGGACCATTATTGGCGGAAGGTCCCTAAAGTTGAGATTATCCTGTAATAATCAATAGTTGGGATTATTATGAGCGGACCGCCAATAGTTGAGATTATTACTATCAATTTTTCCTTTTATTTACTACAAATAATCCGAGTGTGAATAGGGATCGAGTTGCTTTATCGTCAGTCAAGCATCGTAATGATAGGTCGGGTCGACGTGGGGTCGAGGTAGGGGTAGGTGGTATGGGGAAAAGGGGTAGGTAGGCGTAGGGAAGGGAGCACGGTGGTGGGGTGGGGTCGGGGTGGAATCGAGGTAGGGAAAGATTGGGGGTAAAGGGGTAGGGTCAGAGTAGGGAAGGGGCGCGGGTGGGGGTGGGGTACGGAGGTGGGGTGGGGTAAGGGGTATGGTCGGGGGGTTAAGGTTGTAGGGTAGGGGTGATGGGTGGGGTAGGTAGGGGGTGGGTTCGGGGGGTGGTCAAGGTAGGGACAGGTGGTAGAGGTTAAAGGGGTAGGGTCGGGGTGGGGTAAGTGGGGTATGGTAGGGTAGGGGTAGGGATGGGGTCGGAATCGGAGTAAGGTAGGGTCGGGTCGGTAGAGGGGTATCAATAGGGTAAGGGTAAATTCGGAAACTGAAAAAGCTTTAAGTGCCGCTTAATTAATACATGGGGGGTATGCTTAGTAAGCGACACTTTAAGCACCTCTTTTGGTTAGGCATGGACCGGTTTCGGGCCCAGGCCGATCCCAGACCGAGCTTTTTAATATTGGGTGAAGGCCCGGAACCGGCCCGGGTTTCCACCGGGTCCGAGCCGGGCCGGGCTCTGGCCAATTTATTTATTTATTTATTTATTTGCTTTTCTAATTAACCCCGATCCCCCACCCCCCACCCCACCCCCCAAACACCCAACCCGGGAAAAACAAAAAAAAATGAAAAAAAAGGCCCGAATCGGGCCTGGTCGTTTCCAAACGAAGGTCAGCCCGTACCGGGCCCGCCCTAACACCCCGGGCCGGTCCTAGGCCCGGAACCGGTCCCGGTTCACCAGGCCGGGCCCGCATAGTACCAGGCTGGGCCGGTTCAAGGGCCGATCAGACTGGACCTGGGCCAAGCCTACTTTTGGTTAGTAAGAAGCTTTTTAAACAACTAGTATGTTTATTTCATCTGTCTGACTAATCTTACTGTGACTATAGCAGCGAAGTAAACACCTCCTAAATAATTTAAGGTGCATGCTCCGTAAAATTGCATTTTTGCCCGGGACCTTTCGATTGATCGATCTAGCCGTGAACTGACATAAGCCAAACTTGAAAATGATTCATAAATTCATATGCAAATTACTTCAAGCCAACACACATACGGATTACATCTCTTATTGGCATGGGTGTCACCTTAGTCTTATTGTTGTCTCTAAATCAAAACTGTCCCCATACCAAAATAACAATCACATTTACGAACATTAACCGTCCTCTCCCCTCTCTCCTCTTATGGGCAAAGTTTATTCCATTCAAAATTCAAATATGGTGTAGAACATATCCATATATGGGCAAAACGTCTTCACAAATTAAATGAGATATTAACTTCAAGTTTAAGTTCTTTTATAAAAACAAGGATGACACTCCATCTCGATGGCCCTCAACACCGATCGAACAATTAAGATGTAAATTAAGCTTTAATCACAAGCTAACAGATAGCGAGTGAGCCTGTGACCCTGATACTTACAGAGTTACAGAGGCTCTATGCATTTTTACATAGTAACCTCTCATCGTAGTTGTCGGGATTCGAACTCGAGACTTACTCTTTGTCACACTCTATATCTATCACTTGAGCTGCGCCCGCTGACTAATTTGTTCTTTAACAAACCATCCTATATTGGAGTAAGAATATTAGTGAATTGGAAAATTGGACCATCGTGCTTTTATCTTCTAATTATCAATAATTAATGTCATATTTTGACATTTTCAGATTTTAAACATCAATAATCTATGGGAATTTTTTTATTCCTTTTTACATCAAAATTTCCTTTCCGGCCTTTTAGTCCATTTCAGACGTAATTTGCTGGTCTGGTCTGGTCTGGTCTGGTCTGGTAAGGTCTGGTTTCTTTGTATATAACTATCCAAGTCTGGTCTGGTCTGGTCTGAACTGATCTGGTTTGGTCTGAGGCAAATTACAATCCAAGTAAAAACATCCGTAGAGCTCGTATGATCGTATCACCAAGAATTTACTATCTTTTTGGAGGTGCTCAGATACACTTCTTAAAATGCTTCTACTCCTTCTAAAAGTTGAAAAAAATATTAAAGTGTTTGGATGAAGTTGCAGAAGTTCTTCTGGATACTCCAAGTTCATTACTACCTCCGTCCCATTTTATGTGTCTCCTTTGGTTTTGGCACAATTTTTAATAAAGTGGTTGAAAAAGTAAAAGTTGTGGTTGAGATTTGAGTATAGTAAAGTGAAATGTTGTGAACCACATATTTCTTTCCAAAAAGGGAAAGATGACACTTATTTTGGGACAAACCAAAAAGGAAAGTAAGACAGGTAAAATGGGACGGAGGGAGTATATTATAGAAGTAGTCCCTTAGAAGCTGGTTAGATTAGTTTCTAAAAATTGATTATGTCTCTTCTTTTAAAAAAGAATGTAATTAAATAGAAGTATAATCAATTTAAAACACCCCTAGATATTACTACCTCCGTCCCGTTGGAAGGTTTCCATAACAAAATGGCACGGTTATTTAGACAATATTTAAATAAAGTAATTCGAGTATATTTTGAGAAATAATTTTAATATGTATATATTATAATGTAGTTAGTATTGATAATTGTGATGTTATAAATGTATTGTTTCTAATATTTAATGATTAATTTATCACTTAAGAATTAAGATTGTTAATTGTTTCTTAAAATGGAAATGAGAACCTTTATATGGAACGTTCAAAAAAGAAAAGTGAGAACCTTCTAACGGGACGGAAGGATCGAGTATAAAATATAGATTAATCAACCAACTCAAATTCTCACATGCTATATCAAAGATGCACCCACAATTTCATATACTATATCCGGATTTTTTTTGTTGGATTACTTACTAATTTATATAGATGGGTTCATTATACTAGAAATTCAATAAACTTGGATTCCATGAAACATGGAATACTTGATATTCTCGTAGCACTCACACCTCTCAGTACGTTTGACGTTTTTACTAGATCGAGATGACTATAGATGAAAATTACGGAGTAGTGTAGATTTTGGATTGGGAAAACTATCAAATAAGCCCCCGTACTATTCTGAAAAAGTCAATTAGGCCCTCGTACTTTACAAACACTCAATTAAGTCCTCGAACTAGTAAAAAACGTTCAATTAAGCCCTTTTGGTCGGTAAGTAACCGGTTTCCCGGTTAAACGGCGATGACGGCGACGATGTGCTTGAACCCCAGCAACGGCGGCTGCCGGGAAACAGGTTACATTTAACCGGAAAACCGGTTATTTACTGACCGAAAGGGCTTAATTGAACGTTTTTTACTAGTTCGAGGACTTAATTGAGTGTTTGTAAAGTACGAGGGCCTAATTGACTTTTTCGATATAGTACGGGGGCTTATTTGATAGTTTTCCATTTTTGACATTGTTAATTAGAAGGTTAATACACAATTAATGGAATGCTTATCATCTTTCCATGGTCAG